AAGAAAGAAACTCAAAATGCACAAGAATACAAATCTAATGTACAAGCTGTCTACTGAATTAGCAGAACAGCAGTTTTTTCGGCAATTGGCTGGAGACTCGCGGTATTTTCCAAGTGCTTCCAGATTTGCCTCTGTTTTTCGGCTATTAAGTTTGACTTTTCCTGTTCCTCTCGAAAATTGCAAATATTGGACGATGTTAGGGCATCGTCCATTTCTGTAAGAATTTTTCGTACGTTTAAGGTTAAGTTGAGCACAGCTTGGTTCCAGTGGCTTTGTGCATTTATTTCAAGAGCTGGGATTATTATAGGAAAAATAACTTGACCATTGTGCGAAATAAGATTTCAAGATTTGGTCGTTATTCCAAAGGAACAATGCCCTCTCAGCAACCTGGATTTAAAAAAAAAAAATAAAAATTAATAATAATAATAAGAGAGAAAAAGATTTTATCAATAATGCATGTTAGGATTCTTACAAACTAGTAGTCACCCGTGCGATGCACGGGAATATTATTATCTAGAATGTTTTTAAAAAACAATTTTGTATATAAATTGTGTTATGCAGCTGCAGGCAATGATCATGATCATAATAATAGACATATAAATATATCATTAAATTGAAAAAATCATATATTATTGAACACTTTCCTATATACAACATTATTGGTTTGATTCTTTGGCACGTCATCTTCGCCACATATTAAGATTTTCAAACGTTTTCGTTTAGTGACACGGGAAACAACAACATATAACTGGCCATGACTGAACACTGGTTTCTTAAGAAATAAGCTAACATGAGATAAGGATTGTCCCTGGCTCTTGTTTATAGTCATGACATAAGAAACCATAATGGAAAACTGTCGTCGTTGGAACTTGAAAGGAATTCTAACATCAGAAGGAGTTATGGTCATTCTTGGAATCAACACCTTATCACCAGCATGATCTCCTGTGAGTATCTTACACTCAAGAACGTGAGTCGATAGCTTTGTCACTACCAATCGTGTCCCATTACACAAACCCATAGAATGATCCATGTTCCGCAACAACATGACTGGAGTTCCAATCTTCAAATACAACTGATGGTTCGGTATTCCGGAACACTTGATACTATTCAAAAACTCAGGCGTATGGAGATCAGACAAAAAATCATTATTAGAATCCGATTTGTACGTACTGTCAGAGCTCAAGTACATACGACCATCCAACAAATTCAATGATGTCATGTACTGATTGATAGGGTCGACCACATCCAACGTAGGCGCTAATATAGCCCTATCCTTCAAATAACTTGGATCGTCGGGTGCCTCTTTATACATTGGACATGTGCTTTCAACTATCTGAGCAATAAGATCATCAGATGGCTGAAGCAAAATGTCCTCGGGTATGTCTATAGGTGCACATCTATCATTCAACCCTCTGATAGTTCCATCTCCGATGTTGGCTATCCAATCTGCAAACCATGCAAGCTCATCACATTCATCCGAATTAGCAAGTCCCTGAAGGCGCATTTTTTCGTAAGCCTAAGCACAGTACAACTCCTCCATATGTCAGAAGAATTAATGGCAGCATTGACTATGTCCTGACGGCTACCCTTTAGAATGACTGGAAGGATTTTTCGAAAATCTCCACAAAAAACAATCGGCTTCCCACCAAACGGTTTGTTCAAGTTCAAAGGATCAATTGCTCCCATAATACCCTGCAGCGATGTCTGTACAGCTTCGAAACAATGCTTGTGCATTATTGGTGCTTCATCCCATTTTATTAGAGAAGCACGAATTATCAATGGTGGATCTATACATTCCGATATTACTCTCGACTTGATAGTTTCGAAATGCATAGACAGCACCTTCTTCGAATTCATTGATGAAAGTTGGGATGTTAATTGTTTTACTATTCCAGTAATTCGACCTCCCTGAAAAAAAAAAGAAAAATATTATTAGATATTAGATATTATAATTAACATGATGAGAAAAATGGACAATCATTATTTTTTATTATGAATTAAACCTCAATGTCATGAAAGACAATTTCAAGGATGTTCTTGTAGGATGAGTATTGATTAGTCCTTTGGAAAACTTGAACCACCCTCAACTTGAGCATTGGCCTGTTGATCCTTGTTACTTGCTTGATGTTTCTCCATGCTCTCGCCATTTTTCTGTTTGTATGTGAAATTGTAGTGTGAGATTTTTGTGATACGTGATATAGGCTTCGACGTTTATTTTATAACCATGGGATGAAAGTAGATAACCATTAGATGATAAGATTTAGTTAGACTCACGTTAATCTTTCTTGATAAGATTCATTGCATGTGATTTTAATTTCAGAGTTCCAATAAATTCAAACTCTAATATCATGATAAGATTAGTAAAACATGATTTATCAGATTGTTAACTCTAGATTTATCCACCGTAGTACTCTGCATTTGTTATGTTTTTTAAATGAATGACATTGAATTCAAATGGAATATATTTCAGTCAATCCAAACACAAATGATTATCACGTTGGTATGGGCCAAAACTTTTATGATGATAAGATAAGTGGAAAGTAGTTAAGAAGTGGAGATTTTTGTGTGATAGCATCATTACATAATTACCATCACCATCAATCTTTCCATTAAATTTCGGTCCATACCAACGTAATGAAAAAAAATTCTTGAAAATTTTTTTACATCAAACAAATAATATAATTACGTCAAAAATTTTGTACGTCAAAATTTTAATTCAAACAAATCTTTCCATCTTTTTACGTCAAGATTTTAATAATAATAATTTATATATAACACAAATTAAAATAAATATTATAATCAAATTCATATTTATGAATATAATTCATTATGATAAATTATTGAAAAATCACGCAATATAATCCATTAAATGTACTTGATTTAGTTATTGTTAATTCCATAATTTTTTTTTTCAAATAAAAAATACACCAATTGTGAATTCAAATGGAATTCAAAGAGTGATACTCGGTCAATAAAAACCTAAAACAATTTTGAAATCAAATTGTAATTTTCAACCTTATCATGTATGGTGATAAGATAAGTGCAAAGTAGTTAAGAAGTGGAGATTTTTGTGTGATAGCATCGTTACATAATTAACATCTTTCAATTAAATTTCTGTCCATACCAATGTGATACAAAAAAAAAACTGTTGAAATTTTTTTTACGTCAAACAAATATTATAATATTTTACGTCCAACAAATCTCTCCATTTTACGTAAAAAAATTAATAATAATAATTTATATATAACACAAATTATATAAATATTATAATCAAAATTCATATTCATATTTATGAATATAATTCGTTATGATAAATTATTGAAAAATCACGCAATATAATCTATTAAATGTACTTAATTCAGTTATTGTTAATTCCGTAATTTTTTTTTTATATAATCTTATATTTGAAATATTTGTTAAAATTTGTATTAATTTATATCTTGTATCATGGCATTCTATCAATTTTAAACTAATATACAGTAGAACTCAAAAATAAAATGTTTAAATTTTCACATTCATGCGACATTTAATAAAAAAAAATATCCAACGACATTTTATAACGATAACAAATATAATAACACTAAAATTTATTGTAGAATTCGGAATTCAACGACATGCAATGAAATAAAAATTCACAATAATAAAACTCTAAATATCATAAATATCTCCTGCTCCTTGCTAATGTTGAGGGAAAATCCCACCATATTTGATAACATGAGTTCTTCCATGAAACACAAGTTTCCATATGTTGGTTATGATATCCTTCTTCCCATTATTAAATTCAACGACATAGTTGCTGATCGCATACACCTCGTCTTCGTTCAGTACACCTCGAAATGCTCTCATATGTTTGGAACGTATTATCCCTTTAATGAATGTACCTTACAGTATATAAATATGAATTAAATATTTTTTAAAATTACATAAATTTGATATTACAAATATAAATATTTACCTGTTCATCATGAAACAGTATATGGAATGCGTTCCAACTCTCCCGTTGGTGATGCGTTTCAACTATTAGGACTGCTTTCAAGTGCAAAAAAGGCTTGTTTCTCCTACTCATGGAATCGAGTGTATCCCAGACTGGCGGCATTTATTATTAATGTGTTCTGAAATTTATCTTTTTTTTTTCTCTGTAAAATTTATCTCGGTTTTTTTTT